TCGAATCGTACGGTGTCGAATAATTTGGTGTCGAATAAATCTGTGTCGAATCGAGCGGTGTCGAATCGTACTGTGGTCAATAGAGTATCACCCAAGTGTGTGCCGGTCTTAAGCGCCAGGATCCTTTAGGTCTTACACACCGTATCTTGTTTTAGTTGCTTATTTCTTTTTGTTTTGTATTTTTTTTCTTATTATGTAAAATATGACGCTTCACCCCCCCGAGCGTTCACCCCGCCGGAGGACACCGAGGGAGACGAGCAGACATGAAATCTGGAGAAGGACAAGGAGCGAGCCAGAAACAAAGGAGATCGAGGAAGCACCAGTGGCAGCGCCCAGAGACTACGGCCCTGACTCAGCGGACAGGCTCAACCTCTTACGCCAGGGAGCGCAAGCGGCACGCGAACGACAGCGTCGCCAGGCGGCAGTAACCACCTGTAACTAACAGCGGACAAATCTGTCTTTTGAGGCCAGCTACCAGCTCTGAGGAGCTTCGGAACCGACAGGGGACCTTCTGGAAGTCCGCCCCAGCCAGCCGGGCAAGATACGATCGGACAGGCGAAAGAGAAACCCTGCAAAGAGGAAGCACGCTCATAATTCGCGGGTCGGGCCCTTGTAGCTCGCGGGACCGCGAGCGCCGAGCTTGATAAAACGCCGCGCTCTGATTGGCTGGCGAGGCCGACTCCGCGCGATCCTAGCGGCACATCGACCCCGAATCGATTGCGATCCTCGCTCTTTTGGTTGCTACCCTTTGTGAGAGTCAGACGCACGGAAGGACTCCCGGAAAGTACCGTTTTTAGAATAACCGAGAGAAAAGAAGTTATGTCACAGGACGACGATATCCGGTGAGGTGCCGCGTTTTTTGTAGCCACGAATCTGCGTGCCGAGTTCCGTGTCGAGGCTAGTCGCCAAATTTTCGCGTTGTGTGTCAGGCAAGGACGAAACTTTCGCCATATTAGTTCTTTGGAGGGCGGCTAGAATCGGATTCACGGGGCTTCGTGGTATTTCTTCGTAGGTTTAAGTGCGTTCAGATTTTGCGAGTATTCTGTTGAATACTGTGACAAGCCCTGGAGCCGCTCGGGAAGTGCCAAGTAGCAAATCATTTTGTGAGACTTTTGTGTAGCTTCTGTAAATCTTTTTTTTTGCGCTGCTACATCGCGTGTTGTCGTATCGATTTTGCTGTATCGAGATCTTTAAGGCTGTCGTATCGATTTTGCTGTACCGAGATCCTTAAGGCTGTCGTATCGATTTTGAGGCGCGAGATTCGCGGTGCTGTCGTATCGACCTCGCTTTTGCGAGAGTCTTAGCGCGGTCGTAATAATTGCCGATTTTTCTCATTGAATCGCGTTGCCCGGCGGGAAGTTAACGGAGAACGCCTTGCGTCTCATCAACACCGCTTGCTCCCTGCTTGTTTGCTTCTTGCTAAAATCAGCCGGCGAAAGCTTTGTCGCCGTGGGTGGGCAGTACGTTTGCGCTATATTACCGCCAGAATTGAGAAGCGCAATCCCTAATTATCCTTGCGAGGGAACGCGGTTATGCACGCCAAGCTACCGCTGTCGAATCATTAACCGTTCGACCTTGTTTGATATCTCGTCTTGGCCGCGCGACGTGGCGGCGTGATCTGTTATCTTTGCGTATTTGCGTCCTTTCTTGATTGCTTGCTGTGTACCATTCTTTGCTATTGATTTTATTTAATTTGTTTAAATTCTCATTTATTTTTATTTTCTTTTATTTCGTAATTCTTTTGTTTAATCTTAATACAATTGTTAACTTAGATACTCTAGCGCCTGTTTACGTCCCTTTACTTCGTCCGCGCAATTTCTTTCCATTCTTGGAGGGACAGCCTGGAAGCTAAAGACAATAGACCCAACCCCTCTCCGTTCAAAGAAAGCTAGTCGGCCCGTTGTGTCGAGCGACGCATATTTTGACGCGGTTACGCGTCTGGCGCCTAGAATTTTTACAAAGGATTTGTCGGCTTGGCGCAGTGGTGTGCTCGGTTGACCACCCTTTTCTCTTCTGCCGATACAGACGTTCCCGATCTTGCGAACTTCCGTTCGGGCGGAGCGACGCGAGAAATTTGCAAAGAACTTAGAAAAACGTCACAATATATATATATATATATATATATATATATATATATATATATAATACGTATCAGGGTTGTAAAAATCGCAGCAAGAGCAACTTTATAAATTTGAACTAGTAACTTTATATTATAGGCAAAGAATACCTTTGTTTTGGCGCAAAGCATCCAATTTTACTGGCGCAGAAACAGCCTGTTCTCATTGGCACAAAAGCAGCCTGTTTTTATAGGCGCTGAGCAGCCTGATTTTATTGGCGCAAAAGCAGCCAGTTGTTATAGGCGCAAAAACAGTCTGTTCTTATAGGTGCAAAAGCAGCCTGTTCTTATAGGCGCTGAGCAGCCTAATTTTATTGGCGCAGAAGCAGCCAATTGTTATAGGCGCTGAGCAGCCTGTTTTTATTGGTGCAGAAACAGCAAATGTTTATAGGCGCAGCCTTGTTTGTACTGACAAATATAGGGGCAGCCTTGTATACAAGTACTTGCAGAAATAGTTATTTCAACAAAAAATTAAACTTTAGTATAAAATGTTTATATATGTATATTTATGTTAATCACCATTAAACTTTGGCACAACTTTTTAACAGTTTTTATTAGCTCATAAAAAATCTTAACAAATAAGATTCATATTTATACTATTCATATTTATGCTATTTTTTACAAAAAGTTATATATACCGTTTTGAAAATAAAAAGATACTTTGTATCTTTTATTGTTCATTCTGTATTTTCACCGACGGTAAACTTGCATAAAAGTTACTCTCTCTTCGATCTTTGTGACACTTAATATCTTTACGTATTTTTAGTCGCTGAAAACAAATGTGAAAGAATTTTTTGTCATTTGAACATATTCAAGTCGCCATTTTGAAAGATGTAAAAAAGCGTTTTCTACGATTATCCGGGA